AAAACGCTGCTATAAGTAATTGCACAAGGCGCGCGGTACTCAGCACCATTCACAAGGCAGAGCTATAGTTCATCGTATTACAGAGATGATATTCCGTATCAAATGCATGTCGATCGTCTGCTCAACACAATTCAAAAGCCGTAGTTGTGTTCATCGTGTTACGCAACGACATGCACTATTAAATGTCTATCGGCCCCTGGCGTTACATAATCAATACGCAATAAATGCTGTGTCAATGCCTCGGCGGCGTCGAACTATAACATCCTCGCCCTCGCTCGCCTTGCAAGAAAAGCGTCACTACGCTACCTTCGTCCGCGAGCAACGCTTTTGTTTGCAGTCAGTCAGTGCTTAAGCCCCACTCAGAGTTGGCGAGTTTGGCGAGCTCGCAATGTTATAGGGGTAGTCAAGTGGCTGCGTAGCAGCCCCTACAGCATTGGCGAGCTCGCCGAGCTCGCGAACTCTGTGTGGGGCTTTACAGTTAGTCACTGGACGGCGTGAGTGCGGTGCGTAGCGACGCTTTTCTTGCAAGACGAGCAAGGGTGACGATGCGTCGGAACAATGGATGCTATTTTTGCAGCAGGCCAATTGGGTATTTAGAGCACCGCATTGAATTTCTAGTGGCAATAGGTCACAATAACATAACAAACGAGACCATCTTGCAAACATGAAATAGTCTGTTTCTCAAGGAGAAAAAAGTGCAGCTGTGGAAAACGCCTTTTTGGCCATGAAAAGTGGAAATAAAAAGTAGTGTAGATCTGGCCATCATTGTGAAGATGGCCTTGTAAATTTTACTACTTATCGAATCTGTCACTGGTCGTAAATAAGAAAAATAAGAGTTAGGCTAATTTACTCCTTCCAGACGTTTTTAAAATGAGGCGCTTGCCTAACCCGCACTTTTCTGGATCTTAGGGTAGGCATACCTTTCGAATAATTCCTCGGCTTAATCTGAAAAAGTAAAAGCGCTTTTTAGTATCCAGGGCAGGCAACAGAAATGGAAAGCTGGATTTTATAAACAATTTTAATGCAAAGTTTTATAGGTAGTGACATCGCTTTAAAGCAAAATTATCCAGGCGAAAAGTTCCATTCATTTTATTCCGGATAAAATCACACGCCGGTAACGAATAGGCCATCGGGATGTTTATGTGTATTGACTTCGTAGTGATAAACCACTACTACTGTATGATAATTAACGTGGTAGTCTTCATGAACATCAGACGGCCTGTTTCCCAAAGAGAAATAAGGAGTGGAATTTGGAGGATGTCTTTTTTGGAAACGGTAAAAGAAGGCGAAAACGTGTGCACATCTGGCTGTTGTTCTGAATTCGGTCGTTTAGACTTCATAGCTTATCGCTCAGCGACTGCTGATAAGCAGTCAAAATCTTGGGCTAATTGCTATAACAGATCTAACTAATATATAATTGAGAAAGTTTGTCCGTCCGTATCTAAGCTGGCGGGTAAGGTATTTTTGGTACTTAAAAGTTTGAGTCGCTAGCGACTGTAGCGATTCCAGGCGAACGCGATTTTAGTTGTGTACCATGAAAAGGGCTGATAATGCCGTTACGGAGCTCGAATAGGTGAGTATGGTTCAAATGTGCTTCTGGCAGCAATATCCAGGACATCTGGAACAATGTGCAGTGTGCAGGAGGCCTAAGGTGAGGTAAAAGCAGGTTGGTATCGATGCAGCAGCGCGTGTGTGCGCCAGATTGCACGGCGCTGAGTATTTGTGGCATTCAAACTTTCAACCGTCGGCGACTGTAGCGATATTAAGTGATGGCGATACTGGCGATGCTACATGTGTTGTGCAAAAAAAAAAAAAAAAACGCCGCTAGCGCTGTTAAAGAAGAGTTCAGAAGAGATGTAAATTTAAAGTTTGGGTCGTCTACGACTGCAGCGATCTCAAGCGATCGCGATACTGGCGACTACTAGAAGTATTCTATGGAAAAAGCCGGTAGCGTTATCACGGAACTTTACATCGATGATTACGATTCTAAAATGGTTTCTACATCAGTATGCAGAAAGTCGTGACGATGACCAGGAGGTCGAGACCGATGTGCATGAGGTCGGCATCGACGTGCGGGAGGTCGGGACCGGTGAGAAGGAGGGCCGGATCGATGTACAACGGGTCGGCAGCGAAGGCAAGACGTCATCAGCAAAGTGCACGAAGTCGGGACCGACGTGCAGGAGACTGGGATCGGTATGCAGGACGTGAAAAACGAAGCGCAGGGCATCGGAGCAGATGTATAAAAGGTC